ATTATTATTATTATTATTATTATTATTATTATTATTATTATTATTATTATTATTATTGTTATTAATTAGTTTTACAACCAAAGCGATCGTGTTTGAACATATCGTGTTTGATCGTGTTTACAGGCCTATTATGTAGAACTGAGGTTAATTCAGTCTAAGACAGTAGTAGTTTGTCATTACATTTCCATATGATTGATCAGAATTTATGGTATTCTCTATACAGAAGTTAAACTCAAGCTACAAGTGGACAATAAAGGACTTTCCTACCCTATGTATGAAACACACCAATGGATCTGCCTTCACAAGCCCTATTTTCTGGCTGCTTGGTCACAGACTTAATTTCCTAGTCTATCCCAATGGGATAGATGAAGAGGCTGAGGGATGGCTGTCGCTGTATCTCGAATTCAGTGAAGAATATCCAAAGTCTCGCAAAGTCATTAACAAGATACCCAATGTTGATAATGCAGCAACCGTTATATGCAGGTGAGCTGGAAGTATGATCGAGATTTCCTACACTCCCCTTTATTGAAATTATGAATTTGCTTTATAAAAGGTTGTCAGTGAAAAGCATAGAACCTGAAGCTGATGATGTCTCCCAGCAAGCACTTCATGTTTTAAAAGAGCCAGCAGGGAGCTTGGGATGGTCTAAGATGATAAAGACAACCGAAGCGCTTTATTCTAAAGCCTACTGTAACAGTACCAATGGTAGTCTAACCATCCAATGTACAATACAGCCAGTAAACCACAATAGGTTCCATGTCACACTGATGAAGTACTTTCTCCAGCCTACTGTAACAGTACCAATGGTATTCTAACCATCCAATGTACAATACAACAGTTTTTGTATTCTACGTATTCATAGACTCTAATCATTAGCCAATGAGAAACTAGAATCGTGCAACCAGGTCACCAGAGCGCAAGCTCAGCTAGTCTTCGCTCAATTTCGTACTCAGAGCCTGCGTTTTCTACTGGTCAATTTTTTCTTCTTTTTGATCGAAAGTTAACACAGAACTCAATTTCAAAGCATGGTTTGCAATGATTATATTTGACTTCAGGAAAATTGCGCATGCTCCAAAAATGATTTATGCCAGAGCCCTCGTTCTTCACCGCAGGTTAGAAGAAACGCAGGTTCTGGGTACGAGATTGGTCTTAATATTCACTGCCTTTTTTGCAATTTTTGAATTATTACTTGTGAAACTAACTAACGTTAATTGCAAATATTCACATTAGAAAATGTAAACGTTTTTAAAGAATGCATTAGAATAGTCTGACAGTTGCAACTTTTATATAATTGTGAACTAAGTACACGTAAGAGTAAAAATGGCTTTAATTTAAAGTTGTAAAGCTGAATATATAGTAATGCTTTTTGAGCATGTTGTTCTGCTCTTTATAATGTCACTGAAGATATTGCTCAGAAGCTTTTATTTTAGCTGTTTGATAGCTAATAGTTTATAATCTTATAATAAGGTCTAAGCTTAAATTGCGAGGCTTCTCTTAGTATATCCAATTGCCCTATATCACTATGACGTCACATCAAAAAAATCTGTTGTTTTAGCTTTAGGGATCATGGTCGCCAGAAGGGGCAAATAGCAGCAAAACGAATGAAATCACAATAAAAATGGTTAATTAGACGGGGAAAGGTGATCACAGATAAATGTTGTACTAAATATCCTGAACGGAAAACAAATTTCGCCTAAATTCCTATCATTCTTGACCATGTAAACAAGCTGTGATGTCATAATGTTATAGGTCAATAGATATCTTAAATTTCAAGATGCAAAATTGATAGAAAGTTTGAATTTTCTTTCACGTTGTGTATCTAGACCTTGTGGAAATATTTTGTAGTGAAAAATTCAATATTAAACTGCATCTTTATTCATATTTAGTCAGTATTTCCATATTTCTTTCCTGGAAATATTTCATATCTAAGGGAAAAAATATATAATTTAGCTCCAACTTCCTACATATGAAATAATATCATAGCATTTATCCCGTTTTCATCCAATCAGATCACTTGAAAGAGTTTCCTAGAAGTTAAAGTTCTTGGAAAAAATGCATGTAATGAGATGCACGCATGCGTAAACGGTTGACGCTTCGTGTCTCTTGCATCAACTACCACTTTGCAAACATTGAAAGTACATTGAAGTAGCAGAAGCTGACATCCTAGACGTTTATGATGGGTTTTGAAACAAAACTGTTCGTAAGGAGCGTCGATAAAAACCTAATCTGTGCAATATGGTAAGTAAAATATGTTAAGCTTCYCTTTAYGTAAGACCATGCACTTATAGATTATGTAGGATAAGGCTTTAAGCTGTAAAACATTCGTCGCGGAGACTGATTGTGAAAAACTAAAAATCAGAAAAGAAAAAATGTAAATAAAACACTTTATTACACTGTACCTGGACAACTTATAAAGTGCCACTGGGTTCTTTTACATATTACGCATTTTAAAAACTTATTTTTATAATTTCCGGCAAGCTTTGAAAACTAAATAAGATGTACAAATCGGGATCAGCGTTCTTATTAACATATTTTTTAGCAAGTTCGGTATAAAAGTAGAGTATCGATTCTGAGAAATATCATATGCAAATCGATAGATCTTTTGTCTGGGGAATGAATATTGATGTATATTTAAAATCAGTCCACAGCTATCTTCCTTCATTAGATAAAAGTATGCATTTTCCGAACGTTAACCACTCGAGGCATTTTCCTATCGAAAATCAATTCGAAATTGTATGTCTTGGAACTCAAAAAGTTATTGGGTTTCTCCGAAAATTTTATGCATTTTATTGTTGTTAAAATATTTCAATATAAATTTTGATATGCGTCATTCTCGCTAAGAACGTCGGTGACCCGAAAAGAAGCAATGGTTCAGGATTCAGGAATTATATAGAGCAGTTTTCGTATGACTGTGAAAAGCTCAGTGCCGTAAGCGTGACGTGCCGTGACCGCGATGCTTTCTAGAAATGTAATTGGCAGATTGTTTCACTCGCAATGTGATTGGTCTGGCATTGCCGTGTTTTTGGCGTGACCGTGTTCGCGCAGTGTTTATGCGTGTTCCGGGTAAAGATAAGAATATGATGTGGACCGCGTAGCACTTATGAAATACATGAAGATATAGAAATATAGATAAGTTACAGTGCCTGGGAACGTGGTTAATCCGGGCGATAGACCTTTGGAATTAAATTCGGAAAATTAATTTCCGACCTCGCTGACATATTCTCATCTTTGCATCATAATTACCGCGACCTAACATCAATTTTACCCCGCCCTGCTCTCAGTCTGACCTCTAACTCAGCTGGTAGAGCTGGTAGAGCTGGTAGAGCTGGTAGAGCTGGTAGAGCATCGGTAGTACGATTCCGAAGGTCGTGGTTTCGAATCCCAGCGAGTTCGGCAATTAATTTTTCAGAATTTAATTCGGCCAGTTTTTTTGGCCCGGAATAACCTCGTTCCCAAGCACTAAAACCTATCTATATTTCTATATTTTCGTGTTCCGGGTAGTCTATTTGATGGGATGGAGAGTAAATTCTCGTGCAATGTGGTCTGGTGTATTCCTTGCCGTGTTCGCGCCGTGAATTTTTCACAGTCATACGAAAACTGCACTAGTGTTCTTGCTCTAAGCACTTATCTCCGGATACTCGGCAAATATTGCTATTTATTTTAGGAAGTCAGTCATTATTCCAGGAAGTCAAGATACGTTTAAATGATTCCTGACGCTCCTTTTTCCCCTTTGTAGTCATGRAGTATTCAATGACCCTTATGGATGCAAAGATGGACATTCCTTCTGTAAACATTGTATTACAAAAGAGCTATTATTAAAAAAAGAGAGGTGCCCGTTGGATGGCAAAAGAGTGCAAGCAAAAGATCTTGTACGTAACTTGATCGTTTATAATCTGATACAAAACTTAGAAGTCTGGTGCGATCCGCCAGCAGGAGGAGCAGTAGGTGAGTTACATGACGTCATTCGTGACGTTGCCTCATCGTTTCTTGTTAGTAGTGACATTGGAGTTAAAATATATAGGGAAACACTGTCTAGTACCATTGTGCAAGTCTCTCTAACCTTAATGCAGTTACAACTAATCTATTACAGTATAGGGTAATCAAGAGAATATGAAGTACTTAATATTCTCTTGAGGGTAATGCATTCGGGGAATATTCAATTATCATTAGCAGTGAAGCATATCTTGCCATTGTGATCATAAAAATTGTTACCGTAACTCAGCTTTTCGATTCAAACAAGAGAAAATGAAATAAGAGAAGGAGTCTCTGGTACAGAAGTTTCATACCATCGCGTGCCCATGCCAATAATACAGCTTGGGCTGCCTGTGGTAAGATGCCAGAACATGCTAATAAAATCCCTTTGATTTCGGGAATTGAATTGTTTCTTATGTAAAAAGGCGGTTTTAATTTCCTGCCATCTAACATGGCTGCCTTCACGTGGTGGTGCAAAACCTCTATTGGCATGCTTTTAATCATCACCGTTTAATGCTATTTTCAGATTCACATTTTGCTATCGTTTTTTTTTTTTTTCCTGCATGCTCACGTTTTTTTTTTTTTTTGCAAAACACAAGAAAAGATGAGCAAACAGGTTAGAGCGAGTTTGGGCGTGCGAAAACTTTCAGAAAGTCTTGTACAGAAATGTGAATGGAAAGGAGAGCTACAGTCGCTGGCAAAACACAGAGAAGATTGTCTTTTCCAACATGTACAATGTCCTAATGAAAACTGCAAGGAAACAATACAAAGAAAAGACATGTACGACCATGACACGAAATGCAAACACAAAGTGATGAAATGCAATAAATGTAGAAAGCAATTGTTCCGACATCAGCTCGAAGATCACTCAGCTAATGAATGTCCCGAAACACTTATCCCCTGTCCTAACAATTGTATGGAGCAAGAACAAATCCAAGAGATAAAAAGGTGAGTCTATCTTGAAATTAGCTAGAATTTGTTGAATTCAAAAATCTGATCGCAAAAAATTGATTATGAATTGTTTCAATTGTTTGCTGTGAAAAAAATTAATTCTTAATTCTTATAATACCACAGACTTACTTACACTTACTTAGGCTTACCACACCACACCACACCACACCACACCACACCACACCACACCACACCACACCACACCACACCACACCACACCACA